TAGACACCGGTAACGCGTCTCCCGTCAAACAGCGGACGCGACGCACCCCCGCTGTATTTCAGGGGGAGGAGGAGGGTCATCTCGATAAGATGCTAAAAGCCGGAGTCATTCAGCCATCTTCTTCAGACTGGGCGTCCGTCCCAGTTCTGGTCCGGAAAAAGGATGGCAGCGTCTGTTGGTGCGTGGATTATAGAGCCCTGAATAAGGTGACAGTCAAGGATACGTACCCTCTGCCACTCATCGAGGAGTGCATGGACACGCTAGCGGGAAACCGCTGGTTCTCCAAGCTTGATGCTAACGCGGCTTTTTGGCAAGTTAAAATAGCTCCGGAAGACCGGAAAAAGACTGCCTTTATAACATAGTACGGCTTATTTACTAGAATCGGGTTCGGTCTGTGTAATGCCCCCGCGACCTTCGCTAGGGCCATAAATTTGGTGTTGCACAGACTTAACTGGAAGATCGCCCTATCTTTCTTAGACGATATCCTGGTCCTAGGATCTTCGGCGCAAGCTCACCTTGATAACCTACGACAATTGCTTGAGCGATTCCGAGCGTATGGTCTCAAGTTTAAGCCTCAGAAATGCGAGCTGCTTAAGACTAAGGTCGAGTTCCTTGGTAGAACCCTAAGTGAGCACGGAGTTGAGATGGGGGATCAGTACATTGAGTCAGTGCATGACTGGCCTGTTCTGCGTGATGTTAAGGGCGTAGAGCGCTTTCTCGGCTATGCCAATTATCATCGTAGTTTTATCCCTCACTTCTCCAGAATTGCGGCTCCGCTGTATGCGGTTACCAGAAAAAGCGGTTTCCGGTGGGGCGACGAGCAGCAAAATGCTTTCGAGAAACTAATTCAGTTAATGACTAAACCTCCAGTTCTAGCGATACCGAATAGTACAGGTCATTTCATCCTGTATACTGAGGTTCATACTTCATGTAAGAAGTCACGAAATGGGATGAAATGGGTTGGTGGGTGGGGCAATTGTCCAAGACAGTGGTTCTGGTAGAGTCAGCGACATTTAGCGGCATTTGTCCAAGACAGACCTTCTGGTAGAGTCAGCGGCATTTAGCAGCATTTCTCCAAAACAGACCTTCTGGTAGAGTCAGCAGCATTTAACGGCATTTGTTCAACACAGACCCTTTGGTAGAGTCAGCGGCATCGCCAACACAGCTAACTTAACATTTGTCCAGTATCGCCTACAAACACAGACCTTCTGGTAGAGGCTGCATTTAGCCTTTGTTCAAACAGACTTGGTAGACTCAGCGGCATTAGCGGCATTTATCCAAGTTCTGTCGGCTGCTGTGTCGAGAGACCTTCTGGTAGCTCTCACTTGTTGGACTCCTGATAACATTTATTTGTTTAACAAGGAATAATTCCTTTCTCCTTTATTTTCGCCTTCATCTTGAACCGATGTCCATAAATACTGTTTTGTATATATCGGATAAAACAATCTTAATTACAGTTTAATCTGTTTTTTTTCCCATGGAATGATACATAATTAATGGAGAGATCGCATTCACATTTTATGTATGAAACATACTTAAATAGTATAATATTTGTTTTTCTTAATGGCAGGGACTTGCTATTAGTAATACATGTATGCACGATTTGTTTGTCTTTAGTACTATTCAAAAAACATTACTTAATTAAATATCAGTTTAACTTGTACAAAGAGCTCTTTGTTAGTATCTTTGAAAATAATTCAATTAACAGCTTTATCTTGGCCTAGCCATGAGTATCGCTGGCAATTGGCAGTTATTGATATCTTGCAGTCAGCAGACAAAATTACCACCAATATAACAAAACAGAAGATGATTAGCATCTGGCTTCATGCATTTAATATTGCTCCTGATTATGCTCTTAAATTTGGCATGTATAACATATTAATTATTAAGTTATTTTTATGAAAATATGCCAAATAAAATACTAAATAAAGAAAATAATGCTTGCGCAGGAAATTGAGCGGTCATACCAGCTCCCTCGCCAGCTAACTTAACATTAGTATCGCCTACAACCTTGGGCTGCGGCCTCAAAGACTTGTAAACTTCGCTCGATATTATCGTTATGTCGGCTGCTGTGTCGATCTCTCACTTGTTGCTGTCCCTTATCGGAATACGCCAGTCGCTGGAGTAGTATTCGCATTCACATTCGGCTCATACGAGTCCCTGATGCACGACGTTTGTCTTTAACCTCGCTACTTTTAGACTTAAGACAAGGCGCTTAGGGGTCCCCGATCTACGCCTTCGCTGGCAGATCGGGCAGTCACGAAGCAAATGCCCTGGCTCTTGGCATTCGAAACATATAATAGGCCTGGGCGCACAAGAACGTCCCCTGTTCGGTGACGGATCCCTCGAGAACCCTCGCTCGGGACTTGATCCCCGCGTGCTGTCCTCCGAGTCGCTGGAGTAGTATTTCCTATACGAGTCCCGATCCGGCAACTCGAAACGGTCCCTGCTGGCACGTCGATCAGAACGGTCCCTGCTGACACGATTAGGACCGTCCCTGCTGGCACGATCGGAAGAACGGTCCCTTGACTCCGAGCGCTCTCTCCATGCCACGTAAAGATCTTGACACTCAGAATCTGATCTGGCCTGATAATAACCCGGATTTGGCGACTGACTCTGGTCATTTTGACAGTCTCTAGATAGGGATCTTACCGCTCTCGGCCGGCGGGCTAAAGCTCTGCGACTAAGCTGATAAGTTTTGACTCTCTTAATCGCTTCTTCTAGAGTCCCCGGGGGATTATTAATTAACTGCTGCCCCGCCTTGCCGTCATTACACTCCATAGCAAAACGAACGACTATTTGCTCTTGGAAAACCTCCGGCGAAGTGCCGCCACCAAACGCTTTCTGGGCAGTGTCCATTACTTGGTCCCCCCATTGCTCTTTAGCTTCGTCCGCTCGCTGGCAGATAGAATTAAATTCCAGCTGTGAGGCGGCTCTGAGGGAAGTTTTACCGAATCTCTCCTCCATCCAGAGAACGACTTCTCAGAAACTTAACAGCGCGCCTCGTCGTCTGAGAATATCAAAGTACTTAAGAGCTGCCCCGTCTAGCGTAAGACTTAGGGCGAACAGAGAGTCGGGATCGCTCCACTGATGATATTCTGCGATAGTGGAGAACTTGGCATAGTATGGACCCCATTCAACATCCCCGTTTTATCTCACTCCTTTGACCTCGGCCGGAATATTCTTACTAACACAGCTACGGGTTCCAGCGGGAAGTAAACTTGGCAATTGACTCTGGTTCGCGGTGGTCATTAGCGAATGGCCCTTTACTGCATTATGCAAACCCCCATGACTATATACGAACGACGGACTACCCCCTATGTAGCTGACTGCCCAACCAACCCTCCATAGTGGCCAGCGCCCTGGCCACTCAAGTTAGCAATACTAGGATGCGCAGACGCTAAGGGCACGGTCGCGGAAGTACCCACTCGGGTGCACCATGTAACCTGACCCAGGACCCGGGACCGGTGGGCCCGTGCTGGGAAGCACTGGGTAATCGGCCCCCCTGACGCAAATGAACCCAAAGTAATAATACTCGGAAGTCACGAGGCTAAACTGTCATTGCCAAATGATGATAGGGAATGACCTTGAGACATGTTTACACTGTGTCCCCCACAGAAACAGGTACAGACTTTAATATCCTGCATAGGTGGGGATGACTGGGGCTGATTAGCCTTCATCATTCCAGCCAACATCTGCATAATATTACTTAATTGGTTCCCCATATTTGTCTCCAAAGACCCGACCTGTTTTAACATACTTGTCTCAAAGGCACCTATATCCCCCCTTAGGGCTCCCACATCTTGACCTAGGGTATCCATCCTTTTATATACTGTACTAAGGTCCCCCTGAATCTGACCAATATCCCCTCGGAACTGGCCCATTTCCCCTTGGATACGGTCAACCGCTCCCTCCAGTATATGCTGTCGTTCCTGGAGGAGGGAATAGAATGCGGACCATCCGGGTGTATCACCTGGACCCTCTGAAATAGCTCCTTGAGTGAGTGACATGTCCCCCTCCCCATACTGAGTGATATTATCCGGGGCACTCCCCCCCTGGGGCATCGGTGCACTAGCAACACCTTGGACGAACTTAACATTCTTGACAGACGGGACTTTCCCTGGACTGCACTCTAAAGGGATACCTATCAGACCAATCCGGTCTCCTCCCCCTATCAGACCAATCCGGTCTCCTCCCCCTCCGCGAGCGTACCAGCCCCCCATCGGGTCTCAAAGTCCCCCTGCCCAGACCAAACGAGCTAATCTCTTGGTCCATTGCACACACAAACCACAAGATTTATTAAAAACACATAAAAATACCTCGCGGCTAATCCGCTGTAAGTATAAAACAATATACAAAATACACAAAGACTTTAACCTTATAAAAATACTTTACATAATAAAAAAATACAAAATAATCCAAGATGGCGACGGCACTAGCTTACATATGCTAGGCCGGCACCCCGCTGCCCAGACAAAAAACCCTGGGTCGCAGCGTCAATATAGTGTTTCTCTACTACATAACTGTCATGGTGGATACAGAGAAACAACTATGATATAAAATTCCGCACTTTAATTAGCTAAACATCACCAATAGTATACAACACAATGACTTACAAATAAACACGTCTGATTAGCTCAGCATGCAAAGTCCAGAGAGAGAGAGATTTAAGTCACAGTCCACATCATTGCAGGACACGTGATCGGAGGCTACAGGGGAATTCATCCCCGGCTCCTCCAGGACGGCAAAAGGTGTAAAAATTATAATGAACACTGAATTTTTACGAGACTTGTAAAATTCTGGACCACTGGGTCAAGGGCTCTTGTGCTGAGCAAGTCTTTATTGATCTTGTAATGAAATTAGTACTCTTCATTTTGAAGTTATTCCCTTATTCATTTTTATATCTTCACGTATAATACTTAATGTAAATAATGTAATTGATAAATGAATTTGAATTAAAGAATTATTTAACATTTTTTTAATGTTCAGTACAAAAATATAGCTTTTGATGGTCATGTATACTTGTTGTTAATAAAGCTGATTCCGACAAACGGAGAGGGTATTAGTACTGACAAGTACAGGCAAGTAAATAAACCTTATATATGTGTATATTTGTAGAATTATAGTATATACACGTGCACTGTACATACTTTTTTATCATCACAATATACAAACAATAGTGAAAAAATTTGATCACACAATTTAAAAAATAAAAATTCAAGGCGTCGTTCTTGTCAGACGAAGAGGGTTTAAAAACATGAAAAAACTGTTCAGTCTGCATGGAGCATGTTTAACTTGGCTTCTGTTAATATTTAGGAGGTGGAGGTGGATATTGGCCGGGATATTGACCTGACGAGGTGTATTGACCAGACGAAGTGTAGGCAGACGGTTGTGGATTACCTGGACCGATCACGACCCCTGGATGAGCCTTTTCTACAAAACAAAAAATCAAAAGTAGGATTATTTAGTAAAGATACGAAAGAAGGGAAGAGTTAAAAGCATTATAACAGAGATTCGGAACACCAAGCAAGAGCTCTTAATTGAGAACTAACCAAAGTCAATGTTACTTCAATTAGGCAAAAAGAAAGAAATTGGCTGTTGTGATACTAGTAATTAAATCTTTGAATCAGCTGCTGTTGTGAACATTAAATCAAAAAATTGCCTGACAAAAAATCTCATTTTAAATAACTAATTTTCATCAGATCTTTTTAAGTTACAAACTTATATGGATATAATGGATATTATTTTAAATCTACTCACTCTTCTTGATGATAATAACGACGACCACTACGATGATAATAACCACTATGATACACGGTATAACAATGGCGCTATTTAAAATCAAAAGTTTTTCAAAGTTACAGAAGATGCCTATATGAATTTGAAAGCACAAAACATTTTGAAAAAATAAGATTAGAAAGAAATGATACAAAAAATATGTATAATTCTGATTTTCTCCTTACGCAATACTGATGCAAACTGTTCCACCACAAATGAAGCCGACCGAACAACATGTGGAATCTATCTTGCTGCAGCAGTGGTACCCAGACGGACAATACAACTGGACACCTAAAACTTGGCCGCACGCTTCTCTGGCTGCATCTAAATGTCATGAAGCCCAAACATAAGGACAAGAACAACACTAACATTAAGAGAAACTTTTGCATATTTTGCATATTGCAAATCACTAATAAGCCTGGACATTGTCGGACAAATTACAGTAAAATTATGACACGAATTGACAGTCTGACAAAAATGATGAAAGCACTGCCTCTTTGGCAGTAACATTTGTCGCCAACATTAAGAGTCAAACGTCTTGGTCGAAATTATGTGATCAAAAATGATACAGCTTTTTACAAAGTGTTCCCATGGTAGTGTATTTGTAAAATATGAAATTACTCTCCTCTCTCCTTGAAAAGTTAGCACCATTTTTTAAATTTTAATTTTTTAAATTTAGGACAAATTTAAAGGTCACAGCAGTCGGGTCATGTCATTGACAAATATCACAACACATTCTGCACTTCTCACGTCATAGGTACAGTAAAACACAAATATGAGCTCATTATTATTCCCCCTTATTTCTAAGTATCACCAATGTTAAAATTTTTGAAAAAAAGTATCTTAAATTCTAAGGGCATGGTCTCATAAATTAATGTTCATTTTGAAACCTCTTTCATATCTAACATACATATGAAATACAAAGGTCCGGTCTTCTTTTTTCGTTAAAAGGTTTGACCAAGGCTGAAGTTTTTGTGACGCAAAAACTGAGAAAACGACTAAGATTTGTTGTTCAATTAGTTTTACAAAACAGGGGATTGAAAAGAAGACCATAAACTCAGAAGAGACTTGAGTCAAATATATTTTAAAATAATTTTCATAGCAAAGCAAAATTTATAGCAAATGTTTAAATTGAAATACATTTGTACTATACAAATCTGCAATTTTTTTTAAACGAATATACATGTATTATAAATGACTAGCTCTTCAAAATCAAAATTTTGACTTAAGTCTGTTCTCAGTTTATAGTCTCCAGGCCTGGTGCCTAGGAAGAGTAAACATTCCCTGTTGTCAATCACACCCGCCGTCAGACCCACCAGTTTATCACATCTGACATAATAACATACACTTAGTTTTGTATACGGTTTTTTTTTTTTCGTATAATGAAGATGAATTTTCATTATTCATTTTGGATAAGTAACAGGAATTTCAAGTTTGTACCTATGTGTCTTTGTTGAGTTTTGTTGTTTTATTTTGAGAACAAGATCATGTACCCATTTTGACTTCAACGATAAATAAAATTTGTATATTTTAGATATGAGTTGTTCGTCCTTGAGTTAACCAAACAAAAACATTCTCTTATTTATTGATGGCTATGATTTAATTTGTGTTCTATTTATCTAAAAATAATAGTATTTATAATAATGTCTAAACAGTTATATTTCTTAAGTTGTTTGAGTCATCTCAATTACATTGTTGTGTAAAAATTTAAGTATAATTGAATGATACATGGTAAAAAATTGTACATTAGGATGTCACAAAATATTCACTTAAGATAAATATATCTTGTACAGAAAAAAAATTCCACTCACCATTGAAGTCAATGAAACATGTTAAAATAATCAACAAGAATGTCAGCAGAAATATTTCTGTAAATTTCATTTTGTTGTCGCTGAAATCCCTCTAAAGACTCCTCCGTGTATTTTAATTGAGGCTATCTGGTATAATGTGTAATTAAGAACCTCGGTTAGGTTTTTTGTCTCATTAAAGATAAGGTAGATGGTAACTGTACCTTTAAAATGCATTGATCTATTGTTGTTTTGTTTTGTTTTTTTTGGGGGGTAGATAAAAAAAACTACGTAAGGGCAGCTATTTTTTCCGAATGGTAAATTTCAAGTGAGGTTGGGGCTTAATAAGGCATTCCTCAGGTCTCCAAGGCTAGCTCAGTTGAAACTGACTCAATGCAAGTAAACACTTATGCAGTAGATGAACTAAACTTTTTTACACTATTCAATAATTATTTTTTTTCAAATTTCATTGCATATCTCCCTTGCTCTTTTAAAGCTTTTTCCGATAATTTTTATTACTGGTATCTCCACGAATTTAACTGTGTGTATTTTAACCATATATTTTAAAAAGAGATATGACCTGGAATTACTGATTTAGGTGACATATAGGTCCACCGGACTGTGTGTTTGTATATGATGATATCATAACATCGTGTATTGTTATTTTGCTTATTACTTGTCCCTATAAAAATAAACAAACTACTTCATTTTCAAGAAGGTAACATACGGGGGCGTCGGTATTTTATAAAATCATCTTTTTCGGATATTTACGTTAATGTACTTTTTTCATATATTCACCTTCGCATACATATTTTAGTATCATACATGTAACTCAATCGTATAATGTCAGTATTTGATAATATAAATATTCTTATTGTGTTAATGATATATTTATTGCAAAATCCATGTCGAATCTGTGCTTAAAAAAAGGAAATGGTGTTTTAACCAACAACGAATATTAATGTTGAGGTGAAATATATGGAGATAACGAACAGTATTCAAGCTCAAAGGTCCATTAAACAATATAAAATTGTAGCAGAGCAAAAATCGACCTCCAAAAATATCAGAGGGGGGGGGGGGTCAGGTACCATGGAGGAGTGAGCATCCCTTGCCGACCGGTCACTCCCGCCGTGTTCCCCTTGTCATGGCTGGGAAATAGCAGAAAATCCGTCGACAGTTCAGTGTGTATATAATCGCCTAACAATAAGCATGAAAAACGTCAGTCAGCATTTTACTCAATGATAAATTGTATTTGCTGACAAGGTCAACTTATCCACCATAGAATTCCCGTGGGGATCCGGGTTAGAATAGGTCCTCAGTACCCCCTTGCTTGTCGTAAAAGGCGACTAAATGGGGCGGTCCTTCGGATGAGACCGTATAAACCGAGGCCCCGTGTCACAGCAGGTGTCGCACGATAAAGATCCCTCCCTGCTCAATGGCCCTGAGTGCCGAGCATAGGCCCAAATTTGCAGCCCTTCACCGGCAATGGTGACGTCTCCATATCAGTGAAATATTCTGGAGAGGGACGTTAAACAATATTCAATCAATCAATCCACCATAGAAAGTACGAAATGATGACTTTAAGCGAGACTGCTGATATTCTTGTTTTAGCAACTTGTTTGCTAATAATTCACATCGTTTTGAAAATTTTCATACGTCGAGCAAGCTTTTCTGAGAGATATATACCCAGTATGCAGGCGATGAAGGTATAATGCTGCATAAGTAAGGGAAGTTAACGATTGAAAAGTTTAAGTCATCTCGTTTGTCATAAAGCTTGGTCGTTAGGTAACCATGCATTAACGTCTTTTTCTAGTAATATATCTAAATGTGAAGCAGATGTGTCGGACTCTTTTATTTCAAGCTCACTTGGATATATCGTATCGACATAAGAATGGAAATATAAACCATTGTTAATTGACGTTATATCTAAATGTCGAGTTGAAGGCCACAGCAAATGTTTTCTTCTTTTCACGTACCGGTATAATTTTTTAGGACAAATTCTGCTTCATATGAATACAGAAATAGGTCTAACATGTACAATTACGGGGCGCAGTTGGTACCATAGGAATTCAGTGTAGATTGTTGGAAAATCTTGTCAATCAGAAACTAAAGGATCTATTTAATATCAACTTTAGAGTACTTGTAGGTACAATCAGAATGCTTTTTAATAAATAATTTTGCAATCGACCAATAACAAAATAAGAAAATTCACAAGTTCCATTTTTATTGATAAGCAGCTGTCAATGATATAAAAAAAAGCCTGAACTTTAATTTATCGTGGGGAACGGTTGTATATAAGTTTGAAAAGTTGTAAGTTTTGATGCTGACTTTGTGATTTCAAATTTTCCAAAAGATCCTTGTAATTTTTAAGTACCCATATCTAATTTACAGCACTTCTCGAATATATTGTCGCACAGTACTCCTACATCTTCTCCTTCACAACTGTTAATATTTTTAGTTGTCTACACTGCAACAAAATGGACGGGGGGGGGGGGACTGGCCTTCAATGAACAGAATGTAGAAGTCGATTTTCAAAGTGTATTTTATCTATGACTTTCATAAGAAGCTATAGTATTATCCTGGGTACGTTTCTTCAAGAAAAAAAGTTGCCAACACTGCTTTACCTTCAAAAATTGTGGTATGTAATATATACTTTTATTTTTAAAATCTAATACTGCAGTATTACCAATTGTTTTTCTTAGCGGTACTTTAAAATGAATATTGGACCGTTGAATGAGATATTACTTTCCGATGAGATATTGGGGAGTTATGACGTTTTAACGTCATGTTTTTTGGCGAGATCATCTTCAACAGTTTCAACAGCGAGAACAGTTTCAATAGTATAAGTGATGTGCTTGAAAAAAGTGAGTGGGGACAGAATTCATAATACATGAAGATATTAAGATTGTCACCAGTTGAAAGATCGAAGCTCCGTGTATTTAGGACCTTTCTAGGTGATAGCTTATCAAGGTCTTTAAAACTTTATATTTACAAAGCACCTAAATTCATAAACAAAGTAAAGAAAATCAAAATTGGTAAAATATGTAAGAGAAATCTATCAGGATCATGATTTGCTAGAAAAGCATACAGTGTGAACTGCCTGACTGGCCCAGTACCCATATCTAATTTACAGCACTTCTCGAATATATTGTCGCACAGTACTCCTACATCTTCTCCTTCACAACTGTTAATATTTTTAGTTGTCTACACTGCAACAAAATGGACGGGGGGAGGGGGGACTGGCCTTCAATGAACAGAATGTAGAAGTCGATTTTCAAAGTGTATTTTATCTATGACTTTCATAAGAAGCTTTAGTATTATCCTGGGTACATTTCTTCAAGAAAAAAAGTTGCCAACACTGCTTTACCTTCAAAAATTGTGGTATGTAATATATACTTTTATTTTTAAAATCTAATACTGCAGTATTACCAATTGTTTTTCTTAGCGGTACTTTAAAATGAATATTGGACCGTTGAATGAGATATTGGACTTTCCGATGAGATATTGGGGAGTTATGACGTTTTAACGTCATGTTTTTTGGCGAGATCATCTTCAACAGTTTCAACAGCGAGAACAGTTTCAATAGTATAAGTGATGTGCTTGAAAAAAGTGAGTGGGGACAGAATTCATAATACATGAAGATATTAAGATTGTCACCAGTTGAAAGATCGAAGCTCCGTGTATTTAGGACCTTTCTAGGTGATAGCTTATCAAGGTCTTTAAAACTTTATATTTACAAAGCACCTAAATTCATAAACAAAGTAAAGAAAATCAAAATTGGTAAAATATGTAAGAGAAATCTATCAGGATCATGATTTGCTAGAAAAGCATACAGTGTGAACTGCCTGTCTGGCCGATTAAGCCATTTAAAATATCTTACTAGTATCTAACGAATAACAGGACAGGACAAGATCTCAATTATCATAATCCATCATATCATATTATTACACCGAACAAAACACAACCTCATGGCCAGGTCAACGATGAAACAACATGAAAACACATTTTACATTTTAATAAAATTTTATTAACGTGACCTTGCGTCTTTATTGTTTACAAGTCTATGTGCATTGAAAAACAAAAAGAATTGCAATAATCTTTTATCTGTTTATAACATTTTTGAGATTCTTTGGAGATTTATCCTGCATATTATAGAGCAAGTGTCCCCATGCAGTTAAGCAAAATGAGATTTAAAAGCAATGGTTTCAACATTTACAACATTTTTTTGATGAAAATACTAAATATTCCAAGTCAAAACTATCCCAGGTAGACAACTCAAGCAAAAACGATTTACACATTACACATGTTATATGCAAACCAAAAATATGTAGTCTCTTTAAACATTCAAATTTATCAGAAAACTCAGTTACGTTACGTAGTAATACACTGTACAGGAGCAGTGAAGAATCAAAGTAAAACTACGTAGTAAAACAAATAGTCACAAATAAATTGATTCCATGTGCCTTCACAAACGGTCACTAGTATTTTCCTGGGGGCGGGGGAGGGTGCTGTCCAGCTGGATTGAACTGACCGTGTGTTGGATTTTGGCTTGTCTGAGGATAACCTGGGCTGACTACCACTCCTTGTTGTGCATTTTCTACAATGAATGATTGATATTCGTCTTAAAAGTGATCACTATCAACTATGTATAATTAACCAGCCTATTGGAGCACATAATTTTCATTTTCAGTATCTGTACATGATCTAGCATTTAGCATATTGCACACTGACACTTAAATTGAAAATTTGTTTGTACACTCTAGAAAATATCGGTAAAACTAAAAAATAATCCTGTTTTATTGCTTGATCTTGTCATTATTTTAACAAAAGATCGGTACCTTCAGAATTGTTTTGTTAATGTAAGAATATGATGGCGTTTCAAAATGTATTCTATAATATGTTAAATATCCTATTAGAAGTGGAGTGTTTTAAAATATCATAAATTTCTTGACTGGGTTTGGGGTCAGCATATATTTTTTCTGACTCCAAAACCAAACTGTTTGATTGAGCTAGGCCGAAAGGCCAAAGGCAAACAGTTTAGTTCGAGGGATTCACAAAACGCATTTTGACCAGGGACACAGTCAATGAATACTGTTATACCTTTTACTTATTTATTTTGACATATCTTGCTCTGGCTTCTATGTTTGCATGATTAATAAAGATGATCTCGCCAAAAAACATGACGTTAAAACATCATAACTCCCCAATATCTCATCGGAAAGTCCAATATCTCATTCAACGGTCCAATATTCATTTTAAAGTACCGCTAAGAAAAACAATTGGTAATACTGCAGTATTAGATTTTAAAAATAAAAGTATATATTACATACCACAATTTTTGAAGGTAAAGCAGTGTTGGCAACTTTTTTTCTTGAAGAAATGTACCCAGGATAATACTATAGCTTCGCTTCTTATGAAAGTCATAGATAAAATACACTTTGAAAATCGACTTCTACATTCTTTACGTGAATACTTACTCTTCTTTACGATGATAACGACGATCACTATAATGATGATTAGAACGATGATGCATGGGATGACGATTGCACTAGAAATAGAAAGAAAAAAAACAATTTTTATAGTGAAAATAGCTGTATTTTTGACGATGAAAAATTAAATGAAACAGAAAATTGTACAAACTTAAGCTATACCAATACAGACTAACGCTATACTAATACAGACTCACACTTTATTAATACAGACTTACACTATACTAGTACAAACTCACGCAATACTTACGCTATACTAGTACAGACTCATGCTATACTTATACAGACTTATGCTATACTTATACAGACTTACCCTATACTAATACAGACTTACGCTATACTTATACAGACTTACGCTTAACTCATACAGACTCATGTTATACTTATACAGACTTGCGCTAAACTTATACAGACTTACGCTTTACCAATACAGACTTGCGTTATATTGCTACAGACACTTACGATATACTTTTACAGACTTTCGCTACACAAATACAGACTTATGCCATTCTAATACAGACTTGCGCTATACTAATACAGACTTACGCTATACTGATACAGACAGTCCCTCCGCAGATGAAGCCGTCAGCGCAGCAGGTGGTCGCTGTCTCGTCACAGCAATGATAACCCGTGGGGCAGTACAATTGATTCCCATAGAGACTTCCACAAGTCTCTGCTGTGTCTGAAAGTCAGGAAAATATCTCTTTTAAACTGGGCAAAAAGATACGACAAATGCCTTGTCGCAGAATACACATTATGTTACATGCAATCCACATGTCACAAATGAAATCCCTGTCTCTTCTCTTTAAAGTTATGAGGAAAGATACTATTTTTTAAAATAAGGCCAAACGTCAAGGTCATGAAATAAAAAAAATCATAGTGATTTAGAAAAGGCCTTGCCTTAGGTAATACATATGTGAAAAGTGAAAGCCCTTTATCTCTTCTTATTCAAAAGTTATGACCAAGGTTAAAGTGTTTGAAAATTAAGTAAAACTTCCGACCAAGGGTATCGAGGTAAAAAATCATAGTATATTTAGAAAGGTTTTGTCACAGGTAATACGCAGGTGAAATATGTCAGTCCTATCGACAAAGTCAGGGAAAGAGCTGATACAGATAATTGATGTATTGTATTAATCTAAGTGATTTCAAAGTCCCAATCGCTTATTGTCCCCGCTTTCGCAAAAGCAACAGGACATTTAAACTCATTTGTCTGTCAGTCTGTCACAAAAACCTTAGTTTAACTTTGGACATAACTTTTGAATAAGAAGACAAAGGGCATTCAAATTTCACATTTACATTAACTGTGACAAGACCTTTCTGTATATTCTATGATTTTTAACCCTGTCACCGTGATCTTCATTTTTGACCTACTTTTCAAATATTTTAATAACATTGCTTTAAATTGGTCATAACTTTTGAAAGAGAAAAGGCAGGATTTTCATATTGATCAAGAACATTACCCATGACAAGATCTTTCTAAATATACTATGATTATTTATCCTGTGACCTACACTGCGAATTTTGACCTACTTTTTCAAAATTGTTATATTTCCTTATAACATTTGATTGAGAAGACACATGCATTATTTGTGACAAGATGTTAACGAGGATGCTATGATTTTTTTTTCCTTTTCTTCCCTTTGACCTTGACTTTCACATATATGACGTAATTTTTTAAATAACTTTGGTGATTACTTTTAAAGTCAGATAACTTTTTAACTTTTTAGGATAGGGCATACATATTCTAAATGACATGTCATAAGCAACGACATCCCATCCACAAAGACACAGAAAGCGGGGGCCCACAATTCTTTGAAATTGCTTGTTTCTTAAGTATCTTATCGTTGATATCTCAAATTCTCGGAATTTTGAATTTTTTTTTTCGATCCCATAAGTTTGAGATAACGAGGTTTGACTGTTAGGTCTATTTTATAATCTTTTTTTCGTCAAGATGCAGTGATTTTTTTCGTTCTTCCTATTTTTATTTAAAATTCATCATTTTATAACAAAATATTTTTTTATAGGAATAGTATTTGTATTATGAGCTAATAAGTTTTATTAAAATGCCTCAGTCAGGAATTTAACATAATAACTTTGGAATTTTACCTGGTTGACTCTTACTGAAAGCGGGAATTTCACCTAGCTGTCATTATGGACTTGGTGCTTGATTTGAAGATCATTGAATTTTGATTTGCTTCATTGATTTGTTTTGAAAGTCAAGTCTTTAAATCATGTTTGCACAAGTCTGGAACTGTTTGTACAAAATATTATAGATACTTCCTGGATTGCTCTAAATTCTTGACAGAAAAAAATACATCAATGAAAATACTAATTTTAATAGAAATCGTACAACATGATTAAACGTACTGGTTTTATTGCTATATTAAAATGGGATCAATGCTTCTTTTGAATGTCAGGGGAGGGTTGATATAATATTCAATACATTAACCAAATTTAAATTTTATGCATATTTTTTTAATGCGTAAATAAACTTTTCATTCGTTTTTCAATCTGAAATTAATAAGATCTCTAATTTTGCTTGTCTTTAAATTAAAAAAGTAATTTCCCACCTCTAAATCAATGATTTTTCTTTTCGATGAATTAAAATTTGAAACTTCGTGTTCATGACAAAAGGGGATGAAAAGCGGCATGGCGACAACTCCTTACGCTATATAAAGGATAAACGTGAGACACAATGTCCATTATCAAAAAGTTTAGAAATTTTAAAAGTGTTTTTTTTTTTTTTTTTTTTTGGTGATCCAGGTTATTCTCTTATTGTTATTTTCATTCATATTTGTTTTGAAAGTAACTTGCTCAACTAACTAGAACCTATTCACACACAAAAAAATCTTTTTAATATTTAAATATACGTAATAATTTCCCAAAGCTTTTAAAAACAAAAAATGAATTAGATGATAAAAAATTCTCCAATACTTACCAATAAGGTCTATGAAGGAAGCAACAATAATGAAAATAAATGCAAAAATAAAATATTCTGTGATTTTCTTCATTTTTTAAAAGACTCGACGATCCACTCAAGGGCTTTATGTGAAAATAAATGAGTCGAACTTACCCGGTCGTGTTTTGTAAACAAAAAAAATCAATACCACCCTTTAAAACGTAGTAAGTTCCTAAATATTCATGCGCAATTTCATTCTTTTACCTTCAATATATGTAAGATATGATATAATATGGAACTTCAGACAGGGAAGTTAGCTGGAGAATATAATTGATAATTATATCAAAAGACTTTGAGTGTTAAGAAAACTTATCACATTAAAAAATTTCTATACTGAAGTATGGGAAAATTAGAAGATTTCTACACTGATTGGCAAGAATTATTGGAAAATCTGGAAAAAAAAACTGATCTATGATTTAAAGAATTTTTATATAAGATTAGACCCAAAAGCATTTCCAGTTATTATGTAACTAGATCTGCCACGCATTTTCTTTCTCTTTCAATTTTCAGGATTTTTGTTTTTAAACATTATCAAACCAGTGTTCATTATTAAAATATAAAACAGATGCATGAACATTCCAGCAAGATTTTATATATACCGGTATGTGAAATGATTTCCAGTAGTTGCAGAAAACATACAAACTTCATTCTTATCATATTGGTTTTAAACATTTGGATAATCTATAAATCTATGATATGTTTAAATGTAAATCTTCAATACGCAACATAGAATTTTTAAAAAAAAAATGGAGTTCATTGACAATGAAAATTAAGTCTTTGGAACACAGATCTTCAAACAATCTTTTAGATTTTCTATGAGCACTGATTATGCCCTTTTTCTACATGAAAATAAATCTCTTGCTCTTCTCTTTTCTTCAATTAGACATTATACATTTATTGACTGATTTATTTATTCGAGTACAATACGCGTTTTGTCAGACCCAAGAACCAAAATGTTTGCATGACGCCGTTAGACTGAAGACAGTTTGGTTTGAGGGCTGTTGTAACGACGAAAAGTGACCCCCGTAGAATAATGACCGGGGGGTCAAATTTCTACGTAGAAAAATGACCCCCCGGTCATTATTCTACGGGGGTCATTTTTCGTCGTTACACCGTCGACAAAACGCATTTTGCACGAGAACACAGTCAATTAATGTTTTGTTATACTTTTTATTTTAATTTTGTCAAACATGATTTTTTTATGCCCGATCAGTAAAACATTAAGATTGATAGACTTTTTATGCGCCCAGATCGATAGAGCGCATATTGTTTTTGTCCTGTCAGTCTGTCTGTCTGTTTGTCTGCAAACTTTAAACTTCGCCATAACTTTTGAACTATGAAAGATAGAGACTTCATATTTGGTATGCGTACTCCACTAATTAAGCTCTTTCAAATGACACCAAGGTAAATGAACTTTTGACCTTGACTGTGACCCATATGCGAAAATAGCTGTTTGTCTGCAAACTTAACCTTCGCCATTACTTTTGAACCATGAAAGATAGAGACTTCGTTTTTAATATACATACTCCACTAATTAAGTTCTTTCAAAACAAAATATATAAGATCAATGACCTTGTGACCTTGATTGTGACGTATATGCTAAACATAGCTTTTTTGAACCTTCGCCATAACTTTTGAACCATGAGAGAAAGAGACTTCATATTTTGTATGCATACTCCACTAAACAAGTTCTTTCAAACGAAACCAAGATCAATGATCTTGTGACCTTGACTGTGACCTATATGCTAAAAATAGCTTTTTTCGAATTCTGTTGCCGCCGGGCGCATAGTGTTTCACAAACACATCTTGCTTGGTATAAACTTGCATAGGAATATTTTTTTTAAAGGTATAACAATTAGATATGTTTACTAACATTGTAACATTGATTAATAACATTTATTAACATTATTATTCATTTCTTAAAATATAGGGAACCTCGATCCTTCAACTGGCGTCGGAATTTCATATTATGGATTCTCTGTAGAAGATTACGCAAGGCGATGGTCAAGATATGAAAAAGAAGACGTTTGCAACTTTGTCAGAATGGATTAAATGTATCAGATCTATGTTACAATCACGTATTAAAAGATTGAGGGGCAATATGAAAACCATCTTGTATCCTTCTGTATTCAATAATCCAGAAGTGAAAAAAGAATTAGATAGATAACATGATCAGTACGTACTGATCCCTGCTGAAAAAGCAGGTAACAACATTGCCTTCGTTTGTAAGGCTCATTATATAAACTGTGTTGCATTTTATTTTGTCAAAGTTTTGTAAAGTTATGTAGCAGGGACGATCACTTTGTCATATTCAGGGATTTTATAAAAGCAACTTGTGATGTCAGTATTGTCTGGATCTCCCCTTAGATTGTTTTTGTTATCATTATATAGAATGATAATATTTGATGTATTGTCATCTAATAAATGACAATATTCACACAATACATGTGTTATGTTATATTTGGATGGTTCATCGGTAGGATATGGAACTTTGTCAGATCACCAATATTACATAAACTGTTTTTTAGATGAACTTGGATTTAATTCTACGAATGGTAATCCAACTTATACTCATACATTGTAGTTCCCTTTCTAAGGAAGAAATTCTTCAAATCGCATGTCAGTTTTGAATATTTTTAATATCCCCCAAAACAAAAAGGAATTTGAACTACCATATCTATATTGAATTTCGAAACTTCATAAAAATCCTCGCAAACATAGATGCATATCGGGTTCCAGCAAATGTTCAACCAAGCCTCTTTCTTTACTACTCACTAAATACTAACAGTAGTAAGGGGAAACTTAAAGAGTACTGTGCAACAATATATTCAAGAAGTGGAGTAAACGAGATGTAGATACTTAAAAAATTCCAAGGAACTTTCGGGCAATTTGAAATCTCAAGATTTTACCAAAATCAACAGGTTAAAAACTTACGACTTTTCAACTTTATACACAACCATTCCACACGATAAATTAAAGTCCAGGCTTTTTCATATCATTGACACGTGCTTTTTCAATAAAATGGAACTCAAAAATTTACTTACCTTCTCATTGGTTAATTGCAAAATTATTTTGTTAAAGAACACTCTGATTGTACACAAAAGTACTCCGAAATTAACATAAAAAGATGCTAGAGTTTCTAATTGATAATATCTATACAGTGGTTTTTGGAGATCATGCCTTCCAAAAATATATTGGAATTCCCATGGGTACCAATTGCGCCCGTCATTAGCTGACCTATTTTTGTATTCACATGAAGCAGAAATTGTCCAAAATCTTATACGTGAAAAGAAGAAAATACTTGCTGTGGCCTTCAACTCGACATTTAGATATATCGACGTCGTATTGTCAATAAACAATGGTAATTTCGTTCTTATGTCGATACGATATATCCCGGTAAGCTTGTGATAAAAGATACTACAGAGTCTGACATATCTTTTTCATATTTGGATATTTTACTCGAAAAAGATGTTAATGGTAACTTAACCACCAAGCTCTATGATAAACGTGATTTTAAATTTTCAATCTCAACTTCCCTTACTTATACAGCCATATACCTTCATCACCTGCATACGGAGTTTATATAACTCAGTTGAGCCGATACCCAAGAGCATGCTTTACATATGAACAATTTCTAAAATGAGGTAAATTATTGACAAACAAGTTGATGAAACAAGAATATCAACAGTTTCGTTTAAAGTCACAATTTCGCAAGTTCTATGGTCAATACAATGACCTTGTCAGTAAATTATACAATTTATCATTGAGTCAAATGCTGACTGAGATTTATCATACCAATTGTTAGTCCATTATTTATACACTGAATTTACGAGGATTTGTCCGTTATTTCCCCATCATGACATAGAGCACACGGCGGGTGTGACGGATGGATGCTCACTAACTCCTCCATGGCACCCGATCCCACCTCTGATGTTTAGGTGGTCCGTGATTGCTCTGTTCCTATTTTGTATTGTTTTATGGACTTTGGATCTTGAATACTGTTCGTTATCTTCATATGTTTCCTTTTGATAAAAAAAATATACCCCATGCCTAATAATACAGAGAGGGGTATATATTTTTTTTTATTAAAGGTGTCTGTGCGTGCTTTATACCTGGAAGTTTTGTTAGACAGATAAGATTATTTACCATTCGTTGATTCGATATACGCAATTGGCGCATGGTTTCAGGATGGTGTATTTTGTATTTTTCTAGGTCCTCCATGGACTTGTCATGACTTGTGATGTTGCGTTATGTAGACCTAAAAGAATCATCTTTTTAAAAGATCTTAAATACAGAGTCCCAATTACTTTATTGATGACAGAACATTATTTTATTACAAGTATAAATTCTGTCGATTTCTGTTTGCTCTGCTCCTGATTTGCATACATGACGCTGGGCTTAAGTTAAAGGTCACAAGTTTAATGCATGAAAATTCTTACGTGAGAATATATCCTGAAGATGTAATGTTCCGTAGAATTTACAGTATATTATCTGTAACTTTTAGTTTTAGCCTACATAGTTGATCGCCATATTTCTCTACACGATGTTGTAGTTTACGCTTTGAAATACATAGGGAAATGACGTTTTAGGCTAATTTTGCAGAAAGGTTTTTTTTTTTAAGTTTGATATCTTTTTAAAGACGTAGACAAATATTGGCCAATAATTTCAGAATGTCATGAGATAAAATTAGAACTATTGATATGAGAAAAAAATTGATGTCTTCTCGATAGTTTTTTTTTCCTCAATAATTTCAAAGTTTGCTTTTACATTGCCAAAATGGTGCGTCACATGGAGTTATTTATGACTATAACGTCATAAGTTGAACGTAATCAAGTTTACATACAAGAATAAATATTCATAAAGGTAATATAGATGCAGAATGTCATTTTATTCATAATTTTACTTATTGCGGAAACATGTTAGGATGACCAGCAACTTATTATACCCACAGCTTGAAAAGCGTGAGGGTATATAGTGATCGGGATCTCCGTCTGTCTGTTACGCTTCAAGGTATTTCTTATCTGCAATTCATCTTATAACACTTAATGAAATTTAATGAGATTTTCACAAACATTTTGTTACATAGTGC